CTTAAAACTGTAATGGAGGCTTTGGAAGCAGCTTCATTTTCAGCAATGTGCTGCAACTTGCACTCGAAGCAGAAATAAAAATGCCCATTTCACTCTATAACTGACTTTAATCTCCAAATTGGGCACATTCGCTCCTGAGAGGTTAACTGAATTTTCAGTTCACCAAACAGAAGTCCTTATAATGTTTACTGGAGTTTTGCTCAGTTTTTCTCATGTTTCATGGATTTTCTGAAATAGTTCAGCCCGATGTCAAGTTTTAAACAGCTACCAGGCTCTGAGAGATAGAAAACTTCTGAACATTCTGTAGGAACTGCATAAGTGTTTTTCTCTGCATTCATCAGGATCTAGTGAGTTTAAAAGATTGTTCACAGAAACCTCTTGAATGTTGCTTCTGGAAATTTCTAGAAAATATTTTGTTGAAAAAAAAAATCCACTCAGAAAAAAATAATCCCCTCTGAAAAAAATAATCAACTCTTGCCTCTTTTTAAAAATCACAGCTATTTTTCTGTGCTCTCTCTTCATCTATGGTCAGTGCAAACCATAGGGTCAAGGTAGGGCCCTGTGTGGTAAATCTGAAGTGAGAAAATAAAGTTTCATTTGGACCCAGCTTCACGTTCTCCCTCCAAAGTTTGCTTGGTGCTTTGTCTGAAGTTCTTGGAGTAACACTGTTAGGCTGGGAGGAAGAAATGTTATTCACAGCTTTATTCACATCTGTAATGCCAATTACTTAATTAAAATCCATCCTGATAGAAGCCCAGATTGCATCTGCCTGATAAGAGATGGTCTCCAATTCTCTTATCATAGAAACCGTTGTGTTTGACTGAGTTTTCCCTCTATTCTAGAATTTAAATGTTGAATTAATGAGCTTTTTCTTCCCCTCTGATTTCCAAAAGCAAAGAAAAGAACAATATTCATGCTGGCAAGAATTTCCTACAGTACTAAAATATATTTCTGCTGTGTTGGCTTTTCTGTGTTTTTTTGTTCTTCTCTTTTGTTTCTAAGAAAACTGGTTGCTTCCCCAAAATCTTATCATAACTTTTAGACTACAATCTATTTCCAGTGCCTTTATGAAAGCAAAGCTCTGTCATTATGTTCCCAAAGGGATGTACCAGTAAAACTGAAGTCTGGGGAATAAAATTGGAAGATTACTGTTTCTTGTCATGTATTTCTGTTTTATGGTGTTGAGTACACTGGAATGGCTTAGTGGGGAGAAAAAACAACAGCAGGGAAGGGAAGTAGCTATTAATGTCCTATCAGAGCTTGATAGGGCTTGATATCATTAAAAAAAACAAACTTGTGATATCTCCAGCAATTGTAATTTCAATTATTTGCTAGCTAAAGGCAACTTTCACTGCTCCAAGTTAGGAAATCGTGTAAATAGACTAATTAATATAATTTGCCTTGTGCTGCACTAAGAGAACAAAACCAAATATTTCATTTTCTAAGAGGGAAAAAAAAACAACCAAAACCCCGTGTAAACGAAATATTATAAATATTCAGTCCATCTGTGAAGCAAACATTACATATTTCCAGTCATCCCCAGCATTTCTGAGGCACTCAGCAGGATTTAATGGAATGGTGATGGCTTGCCTTGGCTTCCCAACTGCTCTCCAGTGCAAGGGAAATGCTCCTTTGTGTGGATTAGAGGCAGCTCGCCCAGAACACTGTGCAACAACGTGTGCAGCGGGGGGCCAGCAGACACAAAGGAGGTTTCATCATCCTCTATCTGCAGCACTTTAATATCAAGAGACTTGCACAAAACTTAAAATGAGTCTTTGAAATATTCCGTGCTGTGGAGGTAGAAAGGTACAATAAATAATATTTCTCTTTTTCCTCATGTGGAATGGAGAGATAAAGCTATTTATAAAACTGTAAAGACTTAACAAATCATTCTAACAGGTTGTCATATGTTAATGTCAGCGAGAATTTAATCACCCAAAGTAAAAAAAAAATCTATATTTTTTTCTCCAATCCTATCTTATTTCCGTAACTCTCTCCATTGACAGATTCTCTTGTGATGATAGATTAAAGGAATGCCCAAGACCACAAAAAATGTAAAATCAGAAAAAATACAGGACTGACCCAGTAGGTTGTTTTTAAACTGCATGTCAGTTTTATTTTTTTGTTCTTGTAGCATTTACAGCATCTAATGAGGAGTCATTGTGCTCAGCACTGTACACCTGCTGAACAAGAAAATAAAGAGCTAATAAATAGATGGACTGTGAAGATCCAGATTTATATAACAAGTGGCAAGGCTTTCTGTATAAACCCTTTGTGGAGTTGTTGATTCAGGAATAAACAACCTTGCTTAGGAGCAGAACAATTTTATTCATCAATTTATTAATAAAGATTTTTATGACAGCTGCTTACCCAAAAAGCTGTTCAGTGACAGGTTTAATTTGCCATCTGGGACTGGAGTGCCCCGAATTCTTTGGCTTTTAGCCACTTTCACTCCTGTTAAAAGGAGACACATCCTCAGGCTTTCCAGGTGATCCCACGGTGAATTAGACTTTATCCTCTGAACCAAAGAGGAGTTTTAGAGAAAAATAAAGGCATGCATGATGTAGATTTGTGATTTTATAATTTTGTTCCTATCTCTCAATAGATGCAGTATTGGTGAGGTTCTTGTCCAGAGCATTCCTTGGCGGCCTTTACGCTGCACTCAAATCGAAGTGGGGAAGCCTCATGCCAAGCTTGCTGTGCTTTTTGTTATGGTGAGTGTTAGAAAAACTAATCTTAAAAACCACTCTATTCTCTCCTTCAAAAGAACGTCATGCTGTGGATGGAACTGATGGCTTTGGTTCTTTTCTTCATAGCGTGTGAGCTGTACACAGACCTGAAATGTGAATTTTGATCCCCTTATTCCCCGGGATGCTGGAAACCCCTCTGGGGCTCAGGGAGAGGGAGCAGAACTGTCCTGAGATTCCCTTCCACTCCTGGAAAAAAAAGCAGAGAGCAAAAACTCAAACGCATCAAGAGCACAGTGGGTCCCAGCCCTTTTGCTTGTGCCGAGGACATTCGTCTCTCCCTGGGTTTTTAGGACATGATCCTCATTTCCCTCTCCCTGCATTTCCCCATGTAGGGTTTATTTCCAAGCCTTTTAAAATGAGGAATTCTGCCTATCAGAAATACAGATTTCTGTGCTGGGCTCCCTGATGAAAGGCTGGCTGTCTGATGGTGTGGGTTTGGGGGCTGTGGCACAGTGCAGAGTGTTAAGGCTGTAATAGGAAATCAAATAGTTCATTTCACAGCCATCAAGTACATGCTGAGCTGCCTGACTGCTTTATGCTGCTTTATCTTTGAGGACATAAAACCTATTCTTACTTTATGAAAACATACTTTGTGTTGGATAATCATTTCATTTACATATAAAGGTTACACTTAATAAAAATATATGAACCAAAATTGCAACAAAGATACAACATCATAAACCACCTTTTTTAGAGTGTGCTGGTTTTTCCCCTTGAAAGGCTTCATTGCCTTTAAGACAGGAGATACTGCTTCACAACTAAAGATTTAAAGCTTCTTTCTTCTGCCTGTAGTAAAAGTAATAAAGCTTTTTATTGTACAAAGACTGTAAATATATTTAGCAATAATTTCAACAGCTGGAAGTGTCTAGATGTCTGTAGTGGAAATACAAGGATCATATTTACCTAGACTTGGCCTTGAAATTTCTATAACCCTTTTCTTTCCACCTAAGCAGCACTGAGCAGTTATTGGCTGTTATCTTGTAAACACTGCAAGACAATCTCGTGGAGAAAATGACTCGCTGCAGTCCGAAATAAGACACGGCTGGAGCAAGAATGCTGCGAGTATTTTCTGTTGTCATTGTTGGTGACAACTGTTTCCTGCAAAGAGGAATCAGCCCTGCAGCCTGCAGCCCCAAAGCTCCTGCAGAGCTCCAGAGCAGAGGCAGGGATGTTGTTTAGGGAATCCACGGCGAAAAAAATAATAGAGAATGTGGGAATAATGCTCCTTATCATTGCTTTTGTTGTCCTGAATGCACGAGATGTTTGGGTTTGGTGGAGTGGCAGATTTAGGGGACGCTAAAGTTCGTTGCTGTTGGAATTGCAGAAAGCTGAGAAGCAAACCTGCATCAATTTTCATTCCTGCCAACATCTCGTTGCCTTTCTCAGTAAATATCTCAGCACTGCCAGCGTTTCATCCCTAAATCAGTATTAATACATTTCCATTCTTTCAGTTTTATACTGTACTTCTGTTGACCCAGGAATACAAACACACTCTCAGTCCAAAAGCTTATTATCCTCTGAGGAACGTGCGCAGAGAGACAAAGGTTCTCTGTAAGCACTGCAGCAGTGCCTCCTCCAAGCCCATTTATAAAATAATTATAATTGTTCTAACTCTGTGTGATGGGAAGTGTAACCAATTATTGCACAGTTATAATCACAAAATACAGACAAAATGCAGGCACAGACATTCCTTGTGAGGAGAAGAGTAATCAGGAGTAAGTTTGATGAGTGTGGTTAGAATGTCTGTTGAAATTTGTCTGTGAGATGTATTATCTGAAGGATAATACTTGCAGAGTTTCCAGGAAAAGAAGGAAAAATATTCCAAAGTATTAGTTAGCTCCACTCAAATTGCTCTTTTGGGGTTTTTTCAGAGGTGCACCTAGGCCTTTCAGTCATTCAGATTTTTCTGGACATGGTCTCCTACCCTCACATGTCGAATGTGGATGTGACCTACTGTAAAATGCTAATTTATTCTCCTTTTAAATGGTTTTGATCACCTTTTGGTAGAGTTTTCTCATCTTCTCAGCTGACCTGTGCCCTGCCTTTTGCACTCTGAAATTAAAGAGACCACACTGAAACAGAGAAACTTTGATTAACAGAACAAACATTTCACTCAGGAAATTTTAAATTTTGACTTGTAATACTTCACAGTTCAAAACAGCATGAAAAAAAATCATATCTTTATGTCTTGAAAGGTTTTGAGAAAATACTAAAACATCCAGTTTTTGACAGCATCTTGCCAGCTACTTGAATTTGAAACATGAGAAGAGTCTCTAGAGAATACAGGAAGAGCGATGATAGTCAGAAGGAAATGGATTGTGTATTGTTAAAAAACAAGACCTATCCAAACATGCAGGAGTAATGGTAGGTATCAAATCAAGACAAATGTTATTGTGCTGATAATAAGTTTGGTTAAGACAGTAAAGTTTTCTAATAAGGCTGGAGGAGGAGACTTCTTTCTGATGGATGAGAGGACCCCCAAAGTGAAGGAAAAAAAATCTGTAAAATAATGCATTTCTCATTTTCTAACAGCTGTTTTAAAAATTATTATTGAAACAGATTGGAGCAACTTTTAAGTATCATATCTTGATAGTAGTGCTACATTTTTTTGCAGTAGGCAGCAAACCTTGTATACCATGAATTTCTAAATTAAAATATTTAACTTAGTGGAAAGTAGAAGAGCATTTTTAAAAGCAGACATCAGTAGTGATTAGCAATGTCAATTAGCAGTGTAAACAAGCATGAGCTCATGTATTTCTGTGAAATTAAATCAAACTGTCTCAGCAGGGATAAAGTTTCTTTCTTTGCCACTGAAAGGGAACTGTTCCATGGCTACCAGACCTGCAGGTGATTTGTTACACCAGCTATCAGATACAGAGCACTGCATTATCAATTTCTATCTTAAATCTCTGATAGGATTTACTGAATCTGATTTTAGGAAACATACACTTGACAAGACCATTGCTCTGGGATCCTTTGGGGATGGCAACAGAGTTTTGGGTTTGTAAAACACAATCACATGTCCAGCTGATAGAAATTGGCACTGATATTAATGCAATTCCATCTGGTTTGTCAAGATTTTCTGTTTCTGGGTCTAAAATGCATCAGTAAGTCTAATGTCCACCTGGCTTGTCTTAAAATATAATACTACTACTTCTAGTACTACTACTACTAGTACTACTACTACTACTACTAGCAATTATTATTATTATTATGTATATTATGATATATTATATATTAATGTAATATATAATATATAATAATATATTATA